CTGTCATTAAACCAATACCAGGCAGTTTTGACTACTGTGGCTGTATAGTAGGTTTTGAGATCTGGCAGTGTGAGACCTCCTACTTTGTTCCTATTCTCATTTTATAGAGGCTCACAGTCACACCGCTAAGTGGCGATGCCATGATTCAAATTCTTGTCTTTCAGATACCAGCGCCCTTAACCCCTCTGAACTTACCCATTGTTAGGTTCAAGCGACCAACATACAGTCTCTCACAGTGTTGTTGTTGTTGTTATGTGCCGTCGAGTCAAACCCGACTCATAGTCACATAGTAGGCAATTTTTTTTTTTTTTTTTAATACAATTTGCAAGTTTATCAGGGAGTTCGTCCTCCGAGTTGACCTCTCCTTGTCGCAGGGGCAAAATTCAATCTGACCATCCCAGCCAAGGAGCAGAATCTCCCCGTGTGAGCCTACCTCACTCCGGGAGGACCCCAGTCCGGGCTTATTGTGAGCTTACAGTACTAAGAGAAAGGTCCCAGCTGGTGACGCGGACGAGATGGTGGCGTAGCCAGTTGCGATCCCCTAATACGAGTCCTTCCGCCCGCTTTAGCGGGGCGTCCTTAGCAACGCGCGCGCTCACTCCCCGCCCCGCCCCGTCTGGGCGGTGCGGCGCGGGGCGCTAGGCGACGCTGGTCATTGCGCCTGCGCGCGACCGCAACGGCCAGTAAACTCTCTTCCCCTCCCTTTCTTCCCCCTCCCCTCCCCTCCTCCTCCTCAGACGCCTGGAGCGAGACACCAACATGGAGCCTGAGGACTTGCCTTGGCCGGGCGAGCTGGAGGAGGAGGAGGAGGAAAAAGAGGAGGAGGAGCCGGAGGAGGAGGACGAGGTCGTGATGGTAGAGGAGGTGGAGGGTGAGGAAGAGCTCGAGTTGGACACCGACTTTAATTACGAGTCACAGCGTCGGGAGAGCTCGGACGGAGAGGAGGATGAGGACGAGGAAGCCAAGGCTTGGCTGCAGGCTCCCCCCGCCCCAGCCTTGACCCCATGGCGCCACTACTCGGAGGGAGAGAGGGCGAGCGCAGAGAAGGTGAGCCGGGCCGGGGAGAGGTGTGGGGCGGCCATCGGGGCCGAGGTGAAGGTCCCCGGGAGCGCCCTGCTCCGCCGTCGCCGGGACTGCTGCTTCCTGCGCCCCCGGGAGAGGGGTGGATGGTTCGTCTCGGTCCAGCTCGCTGCCTCTCACCGTGCTGGACAAAGAATAAGCGCACTTGAAAACATTTAAAGGCTTGTAGGGGCAGTATCACCTCTTGTGCTCTCCTTCTGGCGTAAACGTGTCTCCTCCCCTTTGGTGGTCCTGGGCCCTTTGGGCAACACCAGGTGTTCAGAGTAACCTATATTCCCTGTGTGTGTAGTTAAGAAACGCTTTTGGAAGGAGGTGGGACTGTCGTGCCCTGCAGGAGGGAAAAAGCGCGCTGTGGGAGTGGGGAGAGTGGTTGCCTGGGGAATATCTTGTTGGGGAGACAATTAGGAGATTAGTTTGACTGAAACGCAGAACTCACCTTGAGGGAGTAATGTGGATTACGTACAGGGCGTGATCATGATCAGTTAGTCTTGAGAGGTTCTCCACCGGTTGTGCTTTTCTGTTCCCTCATTTAAAAAAAAAAAAAATCAAAAACCAAACTCACTGCCATCGAGTCGATTCCGACTCATAGCAACCTCCTTTGGGATTCCGAGGCTATAGTAAATCTTTACAGAAGTAAATTCCCCAGTCTTCTGCCGAGCGGTTGTTGGATTTGAACTGCCAACCTTCTGGTTAGCAGTCAAATTGCCTTAGGCACTACGCCACCAGAGCTTGTTTTTAGCTGTGAAGGGGTCCGTAGCCGATGTTGTTGTTGTTGTTATGTGCCGTCGAGTCAGACCTGACTCATAGCGACCCCTACTTGGGTTTCCGAGGCAGTATCGCTTCGGAAGTAGATTGCCCCATCTTCCTTCCGAGGAGTGGCTGGTGGGTTTGAACCGCCAGACTTCTGGTTAGCAGTCAAGTGCCTTAGGCCCTAGCCGATAGGAGAGACTTATAATGCATGAATCTTAAGATTCACCTCCGACCATTCAGGAAAGCTGGAAAGTGCAAGGTAACGCACGATGGAGAAAGAGCTGGTTTTTTGTGAAGATCATTTTGGAAATAGCTCATTTAGTTTATTGCTTTTCAAGGAGGAAAAAAACAAAACTTTTCAGATATTAAAGTTTCTATCCTGCAAGGATAGAACAACAACAACAATCCTGCAAGGTGTGCTGCGGGGACAAAAACAGCCTCAAGTTTCTTGTTTAGGACTGCTCTTTGAGACAAGATGTAAATAGTGAAGAGTGAAACAACAATTGAGCATGATTGAAAACAAAGAAAGAGTGTTAGACCTGTGCTGTTTGATAAAGTAGCTTAGTCATGTTTGGCTCTTTAAGTTTAAATTTTAATTAGTTAAAATGAAATAAAAAATTTAGTGACACTATTTTTAACAACACTTTCCAAGTGCTCAATAGCCACACTTGTTTAGTGACTACGTTATGGAGCAGTGCAGATGTAGAACAGTTCTATCACCATAGAAACTTCTGTTGGTTAGTGATACTATATAGACTTTGTTCGGTGAATATTCCAGTGGATAGTTAGTTAATTCATTGAGCATATGTTTATTGAGCGTTCATCATGTGCCACATATTGTGCTGGATGCTGTGGAACCCTTGGTTAATCCAAACATTTTGGTCCCTATCTTCAGTGTTCACAGTCTAGAGAAGGAATCAGACAAGATTCAGATGATCACATAAATCAAAGTAAAACTGTTAGGTGCTAACAGTGTTCACAGCATATAGTCTGAAAGTGTATAGTAAGGGAATTGGACTTTGTCAGTGAAGCTGGGGAGTGAATGTTTCCCTGAAGAAATTATTATTGATCTGAGATCTGAAGACGGAGTAAGGTAATCAAGGCATAAGGCAGACAGAGAGCGTACTAGTTGGGGAAAAGCATATGGAAAGATATGTTGATTGGAGAACATGGCATTTTCAAGGAATCAAGGACCAGTGCCGTTTGAGCACAGATTGCAGTCTTTGTGTGCCATACCAGTAATTCAGAAGCTTTATCCTAGGAGCTTTGAAAGTCAATAAAAATGTTTTAAACAAAGGGCATATAATTAGATTTCAGTTTTGGAAAGATCGGTTTAGTAGCATATTGGCATATGTTGGACCTTGTTTTAAGGAGAAAATGTTTAGTATGTTTCTTGCTAAAAATTTATAAACTATGAAATTTTTTGAAAATGTTTGTTTTAATGTAAAGTATTCAAAGGATAAGACCAAATAATGGAAACATTCCAATCAGTCTACTTTCAAGTTAAATGGAAAAATGTTACATTTGATACACTGTCTTACATATTTCTCACTTGATAACAAGGGTGGTGTTGTGGTGATGTTAGGAGCCCTGGTGGCACAATGGTTAAGCACTTATCTATAACCAAAAGGTTGGTGGTTCAACGCCACCCAGGTGCTCCGTGGGAGACCTGGCCATCTGCTTCTGTAAAGATTACAGCCTAGAAAACACTGTGGGGCAGTTCTACTCTGTCACATTGGAGTCATTGGAGTTTCTATGAGTCGAAAATAGACTAGATGGCACCTAATAGCAACAGTGATGATATATAAGGAAATGACTAAATTGTAATCCTGTCAGCAAAATTTGACCAATTTAACAGTGTTACATGCAATTCTTTATCAGAGTTCAGAAATGGGAGTTATTCTGCACCTGTGCAGTTTTGTTTTTATGCACCTCAGTATGGATCATTTCAAACACCTCTCTTTGTAACTCTTAAACCTAAATTTCCAGGTTGTAGTGGGGAAGATTAACTCAGTACCGTGAGTTGGTATCACTAGAAATTCTTGGTCTTTACCTTTTAAATATGTCATCAACAATGTTTGGAAATCTTTCTGCATTTCTTTTCTTTTTTTTTTTTCTTTATTGTGATTTGGGTGAAGATTTACAGAGCAAATTCACTTTACATATGACAATTCACATATCCTTTGTCTCATGTCATTGACCACAGTTTACCACAATGCAACAGCTCCCCTCCCACTTCTTCTCCATAGTTACCTCTTCCCAGTGTCCATCCCTCCATGAACTCCTGCCCCCTGAGCTGTCTCCCTGTGCACAGGCAGCCCTTCTTTATCAATGATTGTCCTCTCCAAGGAGTGTATCTACCTCAGGTAAATGTTCAACTCTTATGCCTGTCTTCTGTTTGGCTGAAAACCACAGGTGTGGGTTCAATTCCAGATCTGAAGGGCAGCTAGGGGCCATAGTCTCAGTGGTTCCTCCAGGCTCTATCGGACCAGCAAACCTGCTCCCCCCTTTTTTTTTT